CTTATTTTCAAAATATGTAGTTTCCATAACATGTTGTCATATTACAAGATAGTAAGGTAAGTTCGGGTAATAAGGCTCGACCGTCATCTACTCTTTTGACGTTTGTTAGATATGTAATGTGTGGACCATTTGTTAGTTTCTTTTTGAAATGCGTCTTATTTTCACATTAGTAACAGTGACGCCCCTGACATATTGGTATATAGGTGTGTCAACCCTCCGTTGTAAGAAATAAATCATTTTACGATTGAACAACGCTGGGAAATATTGAAATATTATTTCCAAAGTGAGAGCTGTGTTGCAAAAACTGTGCGAAAGATGAGAAAAAAATTTCGTCGAAATGCGATTTGACGCTGTTTGACTATTTTCTTATAGGGAAATGTTATAGACCGTTGTTACTCCAACGATCCACAAACAATTGACGCACTTAAAGAAAACATCCATCGAGCTATTCGTGAAATAGTCACAAATAATCGACAATATATTGCAAAATTGGGTTAAGGGAATGTGCCACTGCCAAGCCAGCCGCGGCAGCCATTTAACTAAAATAATTTTTCATAAATAATCGGAAGGTGAACTCTCTTGAACAAAGCAACGATCATTCAAAAATATTCAACAGTGTAGTTTTAATAACAACCTTAAAAAGAAACTAGCAGATGACCTACCCTATAGTATATGGTATATGATGTGGGAATAGTACATTACAAACTAGGTGGTAAATATGGCGTATTACCCCAAGTGCCTATGTAAGGAAAACACTTATGTATACAGGCTACGCCAGAACTCGCGCCCCAGAGAAAATTTTCAAGTAAAGTAAGATACCAGGAACATGGGAAAAATGTTTAAAAAATTCTAAGTGTCAAAAATTTTTGACATTTATTTTTTGACATCTGACATTTTTTATGTCTATTTAATGATACTGATGATCATATATATGTTTTTTTACAATTATTTAGTACAGGTACAAAAATTTTGGCAATAAAAGCTACAAATAACATTGAACATAGTTACAATTTAGGATACAGCTGCCTTGTTTCCTCTTTTAATAGCCTATAGCAAAAAAAACTTGAAAAATTATTTTTCCAACAGAAATAAATAGTCAGAGTGCAAAATTTAAAACCCTCATAACTTCGAAATTTTTATAGATAAAATGTTTCTAACATTTTTTCCGTGTTCCTGCTATCTTACCTTATATGGCATTTGTCTCTGGGGCGTGAGTTCTGGCGCATCCTGTATAAAGCACAAGGGGTAATGCCATTACCACCGAGGTTTGTATGCAATTTTTGTTCACAATCACATTATTTTTAGTCAAAAATTTGAATAAAATAAAATTCTAACAAAGTTAAGGTCCAAACGTGGTAGGCCATACAAATTGCGTTTGATTTTTGACATTTCAGAAATTATTTTATAAAAAGTAATCGTAAATGTACGAGGACAAAAAGCCAAAATCAAAGAAAAACTTTCGTGTAAATGTCTCGGCGTTCCTTCTACTAAATTAACGCTTTGTTCTAAGCTTATTTCTTCAGTATTATTAGTTAAAATTTGTAAAATTGCATTTTAAACGTTACGGACGATTGGCGTTGAGAAACTCGTGAAATTCTTGATTATAAAAATTATAATTATAGTTATAAAGTATGATCAAATTAATGACGATAATTATGGTCCAGTAACCTTTACTCTCCCAGTACATACAAGATTATCTTTTTTAGGGAACAAAAAGACAGTTTGAATAAAATACAGAATAACTTCGATAAAAATTATTGGGTTTTATTATTTTTACAATAATAAAAAAACTTAACGCCTCGGACAACCTGTTGAATTGGTACAGGCTATTGTAGCATTGTAACAGTTGGTTGAGTCTGTACATGTTGTAGCTCTGTAACAGTTGGTTGAACTAGTACATGTTGTGGCTCTAAAACAGTCTTGTGACGTTGTACACGTCACGGCTCGGTTACAGCTTCTAGACGTAGTACATGTTGCTGCCCTGATGCAATTTGTAGAATCGGTACATGTTATTGCATTTGGACAGTTTCTAGAATTAGTACAGGTTATTGCATTTGGACAGTTTCCACAACCAGTGCATGCTGTTGTACAACTAGAACAATCAGCACCCCCATCGCATTGGCAGTAATACTCGGAACACAAACTCATTACTATGACTGCTATTATTAGCAAGTTTTTTGTAAAATCCATAGTATTTTGTTTTTTCGTTCTTTATTTCACTTTTTACTTCGTTCGACTGCTCAATTTGGCTCTACGCTCTACTTATATACTTTTTTTTCAATGACAGCGACGCCATAATGACGTGCATATTTCATTATCTTATTTACGAATTACTGCAATACCTTTTTTCCACCGAACTAATGTACTTTGGTAATTATTTTATTATATACAGGGAGATTCAAAAGTGTCGGACCAACTCTCCAATGGTGATAGAAAACTCTCAGATAAGCACAAAAATGAATTCAAATGTTTTTAAACCTATTTTTGAGAAAAAAAAAACACAACTGTCAATTTCTATATTATCATGTATACATCTTAACTCTTTTGTTTCCAATGTTGTCGAATTTAATTTATTGTTAAATTTTCTATTTTGTTAAATGTCTTGTACCCAATAAGACAAAAATTGGTGATTTTTTTGTTGCAAGATCTACCGTTTCCGCTAACTAAATTTAAGAAAATATCATCTGGACGGTCAAAAGCTTAAAAAATTTTTGTCATAGAAATTTTTAACTTAGTTGGATGTCCTTTATCAGCACCCAAGAGATGGTCCAACAGTTTTGAATCAGCCTGTATATAAATATATAGTTTCCATAGCATGTTGTTATATTAAAAGATAATAAGGTAAGTTTGAGTAATAAAGCCCGACCGCCATCTACCCTTTGGTATTTGTTAGATATGTAGTATATGGTATATGATGTAAATATAATTTTCCGACAGTCAATGTAAAATGTGTTTTTACTACTTACTAGCAAGGTTTTTCTAAAAGCCATAGTATTTTGTTTTTTCGTTATTTATTTCACTTCTTATTTCGGTCGACTGCCAAATTTGGCTCTACGCTCTACTATATACCCAAATGACTTGGTGCATATTTTATTATCTTGTTTACGAATTCTTGCAATAGCTTTTTCCACCGAGCTAATCACTTTGGTAATTATTTCAATATCTTATTTTAAAAATATCTAGTTTCCATAGCATGTTGTTATATTAAAAGATAATAAGAAAAGTCTTGGTAACAAAGCCCGACCGCCATCTGCTTTTTTGATGTTTGCTACTATGTAGTGTATGGTAATGCAAATATCATTTTTCGATGGTAAACTTGAAACATGTTTTTGCAGCAGCTTTCGTTCTTCATATTATAAAAACTGTGCTATTTCCCTAAAGCTTTGCCTAGAAAACATTTTTCTCGATTGTTACACAATTACAGGTCTTACCTATCAATATTTTTCTCAAAAACTATATACAGGTGTCCCAGTAAAACTTTCGGGTCTATTGTAAGAGATTTTTATGAAATTTAAAACCTAGATAACTTAAAAGGTGGTGATTCCAGAACCTCATGCCTTTCTCAAAACACATTTCTTGATACTCTGCACACGTCCAGAGGATTTATCGAAGATGGTTCGAACCTCACCACGAACCTTTTGGACCATCTCGACAAAACCCCACGAGGTTATTTTTATTGGTTTTTATGATATCTCATATATACGTCTGTTTTATTCCCGACTCTTATGGGGAACATTGCGATTGCTCTTACTTAAGTACAGTTGTATTGGCGACTTTATTTAGACAACATAGGTACATAAAGAATATAAACTTAATTTTGTATTGCCTTAGATGAAGGGTGAAAATCACTGGTATCTATTTTTATTGGCCTTAAAGAAATAAGAAAATAATAATGGTATAAGAAAATACCATCAAACTCGTCTTTTTTTATAGAAGGTCTCTCAAAATTAAAGCATTTCGAGTTCAGAGCGTTGTAAAAATTCTTACCAAGAGCACGAGAAAAAAATTGACGGCTTCTTACAACAATATTAGAGGTCTGAAGATGCAGACTTTGCATCAAGTTATCTTCAAATAAAGGATTAAATCTTAAAGTCGTCGCCAAAGTATTTTTGGCGGTCTAGAACGGTAAGTAAATTTAAGATATGTATTTTATTAAAAAAGTAGCAAAAATAAATCGCTCAAAAAATGGTGAAATCAGCGGAATAATACGAAATTAATAATGTTAATAATCTTTATTGTGTTTTATTATTTTTGACAATAAAACTTATTGTTAAATATGTAATATTTAACGTCTGGGACATCCTGATGAATTAGTACAGGCTGTGGCTCTGTAACAGTTGGTTGAGTCAGTACAAGTTGTGGCTATAAAACAGTCTTGCGAGTTTGTACACGTCGTAGCCTTGTTACATTTTGTAGACCCAGTGCATGTTCTTGCATTGATACAGTTTTGCGAATTAGTACAAGTTTGTGCATTTGGACAGTTTCCACAACCAGTGCATGCTGCGGTACAACTAGTACAATCAGAACCCCCAGTGCATTGGCAGTAGTACTCGGAACACAAACACATAACCACAAATGCTATTACTAGCAAGTTTTTTGTTGTAAAAGCCATAGTATTGTGTGTTTTTTTTTGTTATTTATTTCGCTTTTTACTTCGGTCGACTGTTGAATTTGACTCCGCGCTCTACTATATAACATGTTTCAACCCACGGCAACGTCATAATGACCTCGGTGCATATTTCATTATCTTGTTTACGAATTATTACAATACCTTTTTTCCACCAACTATTAATTACTTTAGTACTTATTTTGTTTACTTATCTTGTTTGAAAAATACCGAGTGTTTCAGAACTCGCACCACAGAGAAAAATGCGATGTAAGGTAAAACACAAGGAATATAGAAAAAATGTTAAAAAGATTCTACCTATAAAAATTTCAAAATTATGGCAGTTTAAACTTTGACTATTTATTTGTATTGGAAAAATAATTTTCCAAGTTTTTTTGCTACAGGATATTAAAAGAAGAAACAATGAAGCTGTAGGTATCTATCCAATTGTAACTATTTTTAACGTTATTTTGTGGCGTTTAATGGCACATTTCTGGACCTTTACTAAATAATTATGAAAAAACATACACAGTAACACTACATAGACATAAATAGATGTCAAATTTCAAAAATAAATGTCCAAATTTTTTGACAGATAGAATTTCTGAAACCTTTTTTAATGTTACTGGAATCTTATCTTACATGAAATTTTTTTCTGGGGCGCGAGTTCTGAAACACCCTGTATGTAGTTTCCAAACTTTTTCTCGACTTTACAATGGCTTTGGTACTTATTTGCTTATCCTGTTTACAATAACATGTTGTTGTGTGTCATGAGTCTCAGACAGGCAACAATTAATCATGAAAAAAGTTTTGTTATCAGAGGATTTTTTTTACTTTTTTTATCTTTTTTAAAACAACATTAAAACATTATTTTCTTATTTAGATTTGTATTATGGATTACAATTTACAACTTATAAAAACCACTTAATATCTCATTATTATTATAAGAAATAAATTTTCAAACACTCTTTACTCTCATCTTTGGGTGGTAGTAATTTCAAAACCAGAAACTGAATTAAAAACCAAACAAGTTTTTAGACTCTGTACCTACAGATGTTAGACAGCAACCAACAACGAGCTTGTCCGAAACTTACAACACACTGTGTATACAGAATTTCGAATTTAATACCTATCTCTGTTATTTGCTAATTGATTCTAACGAAAATTAAAACGTAGATTATTTAGTAGTCGTTTAAAAATGCTAAAATACTTAAGATTTATAAACACATATACCATTTAACCCGATACATCAAACTTTTATTTTTAACACACGCTTTTCAACCACAAAGTGGTCATCCTGAGAACTAAAATTTATATCAAATTATTAATCGCCAATATAAAATACTATACAGGTGCGCCAGAACTCGCGCCCCAGAGAAAAAAATCAAGTAAGATAAGATACCAGAAACATGGAAAAAATGTTTCAAAAATTCTATCTGTCAAAAAATTTTGACATTTAGTTTTTGACATTTCACATTTTTTTATGTCTTTTTAATGATAAAGATGATCCTGTACATGTTTTTTTTTAGAATTATTTAATAAAGGCACAAAAATTTTGCCAATAAAAGCCACAAATAACATTGAACAGAGTTACAATTTAGGATACAGCTTACTTGTTTCCTCTTCTAACAACGTGTAGCAAAAAAACTTGGAAAATTATTTCTCCAACAGAAATAAATAGAGTCAAAGTGCAAACTTTGGCATTTTTCTATGGGGCGCGAGTTCTGGCGTACTCTGTATATAAGCACAGCTTTAGAGAAACAGCGCAGTATTTATAATATGAAGAACAAAAGCTGCTGTAAAAATACGTTTTAAATTTACGATCGAGAAATGATATCATATACCATATACTACCTACATATCTAGCAAACATCAAAAGAGTAGATGGCAGTCGGGCCTTATTACCCGAACTTACCTTATTATCTTTTAATTATAACAACATGCTATGGAAACTACCTATTTTGAAAATAAGATAATCAAACAAGTACCAAAATAGACTATGTCGGTGGAAAAAAGGTACTGCAATGATTCGTAAACAAGATAATGAATTATGCACCGGGGTCATTATGACGTTTCCGTCGGTTGAAAAATGGTATATAAGTCGAGCGTAGAGCCAAATTCGTAGTCAACCGAAGTAAAAAGTGAATTAAATAACGAAAAAACAAAATACTATGGCTTTTACAATAAAAAACTTGCTAGTAATAGCATTTTTAGTTATGTGTTTGTGTTCTGAGTATTACTGCCAATGCACTGGGGGTGCTGATTGCACTAGTTGTACAGCAGCATGCACTGGTTGTGGAAACTGTCCAAATGCTGTAACTTGTACTAATTCTCAAAACTGTATCAATGCAGTAACATGTACTGGGTCTACAAAATGTAATAGAGCTACGACTTGTACTGGCTCACAAGACTGTTTTATAGCCAAAACTTGTACTGACTCAACCAACTGTTACAAAGCCACAGCCTGTACCAATTCATCAGGATGTCCCGGACATTAAGTTTTTTATTGTCAAAATAAACACAATTATTTTTATCTAAGCTACTCTGTATTCATCCGATATGTCTTTTTCTCTCTTAAAGATGATAATCTTGTACTAAGAGAGAAAGGGCTTTTGGACAATAATAAACCTTACTAACATTACTAATTTCGT